AGATCAAAATGAATTTTTATGAGAGCCACAGAATTTGGCTAACAAGCCTATCTGATGTTATCCTGATGCCCAATGACTTCGAGCAGGCGATAAATGACATGCCCATGCACTCTGCCCCAGGGCCAGACTCGTGGAATTCCGTGTTCATCAAGAACTGCAAGAAGCCCCCATCACGAGCTTTTACCATCCTATGGAGAGGGAGCATGGACACTGGGGTCGTCCCAGTTACTAAAAACAACAGACATAGCCCCACTCCACAAAAGGGGCAGTAAAACAATAGCAAAGAACTACAGAGAGATAGCACTAACATCCCATTTCATAAAAATCTTTGAAAGGGTCCTAACAGAGCAGGTTGCTCCTGTCTGTCTCAACTACTGGATCACTACGACAAGGTCCTAGATGCACTAGAAGACAAAAAGAATGCAGATGTAATATATACAGACTTTGCAAATGCCTTCGACAAGTATGACCATGGCGTAATAGCGCACAAAATGTGTACTAAAGGAATAACAGGAAAAGCTGGTAGATGGATCTATAATTTCCTGACGAACAGAACACAAAGAGTCGTAGTAAACAGAGTAAAGTCTGAGGCGGCTACAGTGAAAAGCTCTGTTCTACAAGGCACAGTGCTCGCTCCTATCTTGTTTCCCGTCCTCTTATCTGACATAGACAAGGATGTCAGCCACAGCACCGTGTCTTCCTTTGCAGATGACACCCGAATCTGCATGACAGTGTCTTCCATTGCAGACACTGCAAGGCTCCAGGCGGACATCAACCAAATCTTTCAATGGGCTGCAGAAAACAATATGAAGTTCAACGATGAGAAATTTCAATTATTCCGATATGGTAAACATGAGGAAATTAAAACTTCATCAGAGTACAAAAATTCCGGCCACAAAATAGAGCAAAAAACCAACGTCAAAGACATGGGAGTGATCAGGTCGGAGGATCTTGCCTTCAAGGACCATAACATTATATCAATCGCATCTGCTAGAAAAATGACAGGATGGATAATGAGAACCTTCAAAACTAGGAATGCCAAGCCCATGATGACACTCTTCAGGTTGCTTGTTCTATCTAGACTGGAATATTGCTGCACACTAACACCTTTCAAGGCAGGTGAAATTGCTGACCTAGAAAATGTACAAAGAACCTCCACGGTGCGCGTAACGGAGATAAAACACCTCAATTACTGGGAGCGCTTGATGTTCCTGAACCTTTACTCCCTGGAACGCAGGCGGGAGAGATACACGATTATATACACCTGGAAAATCCTAGAGGGACTAGTACGGAACTTGCACATGAAAATCTCTCACAACGAAAGCAAAAGACTTGGCAGATGATGCAACATCCCCCCCAATGAAAAGCAGGGGTGTCACTAGCACGTTAAGAAACAATACAATAAGTGTCAGGGGCCCAAGACTGTTCAACTGCCTCCCAGCATACATAAGGGGGATTACCAATAGACCCCTGGCTGTCTTCAAGCAGGCACTGGACAAGCACCTAAGGTCGGTACCTGACCAGCCGGGCTGTGGCTCATACGTTGGATTGCATGCAGCCAGCAGTAACAGCCTGGTTGATCAGGCTCTGATCCACCAGGCCGCAGGGGCGTTGACTCCCGGAACTCTCTCCAGGGAAACACGAAATCACAGCTTCCTTATCTTCATCAACATTTAACAATTCCTCAAAATATTCCCTCCATCTTCCCGATACCTCTAACTCTTCATTTAATAACTCTATTTTAACTGTCAAATCCATTTGTTCCCTAGGCTTCCTCAACTTATTAAATCTCACTCCAAAACTTTTTATTATTTTCAACAAAATTTCTTGATAACATCTCACCCACTCTTTCATTTGCTCTCTTTTTACACTGCTTCACCACTCTCTTAACCTCTCTTTTTCTCTCCATATACTCTTCCCTCCTTGCATCACTTCTACTTTGTAAAAACCTCTCATATGCTAACTTTTTCTCCCTTACTACTCTTTACATCATCATTCCACCAATCGCTCTTCTTCCCTCCCACACCCACTTTCCTGTAACCACAAACTTCTGCTGAACACTAACACTACATTCTTAAATCTACCCCATACATCTTCGACCCCACTGCCTATACTCTCACTAGCCCATCTATCCTCCAATAGTTGTTTTTATCTTACCCTAACTGCCTCCTCTTTTAGTTTATACACCTTCACCTCTCTCTTACTTGCTGCTTCTATTTTCATTGTATCCTATCTACCTTTTACTCTCACTGTAGCTACAACTAGAAAGTTACCCATGACCCCTGTATAAACATGTACATCCTGAAGTCTACTCAACAGTCTTATCTACCAATACATAGTCCAACAAACTACTGGCATTATGCCCTACATTATATCTTGTATACTTATTTATCCTATTTTTTCTTAAAATATGTATTACCTTTAACCAAACTCCTTTCTATACAAAGTTCAATCAAAGGGTTCCCATTATCATTTACACCTGGCATCCTAAACTTACCTACCACACCCTCTCTAAATGTTTCTCCTACTTTAGCATTCAGGTCCCCTACCACAATTACTCTCTCACTTGGTTCAAAGGTTCCTATACATTCACTTAACATGTCCCAAAATCTATCTCTCTCTCCTCTACACTCCTCTTTTCTCCAGGTGCATACACGCTTATTATGACCCACTTTTCACATCTGACCATTATTTTAATCCACATAATCCTTGAATTTACACATTTATATTCCCTCTTCTCCTTCCATAACTGGTCCTTCATCATTATTGCTACCCCTTCCTTAGCTCTAACTCTCTCAGCTACTCCTGATTTAATCCCATTTATTTCTCCCCACAAACTTGCCTACCCCCTTCAGCTTGTTTCGCTTAGGGCTAGGACATCCAACTTCTTTTTATTCATAACATCAGCAATAATTTCTTTACCATCCGCACTACATCCATGCACATTTAAGCGTCCCAGTTTTATAGTTCTCCTTCTGATTTTTAGTAAATGTGTACAGGAGAAGGGGTTACTAGCCCATTGCTCCCGGCATTTTAGTTGCCTCATACGACACGCATGGCTTACGGAGGAAAGATTCTTTTCCACTTCCCCATGGACAATACAGAGAAAAAACAAGAACAAGAGCTATTAAGAAAAGAAAATCCCTAGATGTGTGTATGTATATATATATTTTTTTCTTTCAACAAACCGGCCGTATCCCACCAAGGCAGGGTGGCCCAAAAAGCAAAACTAAAGTTTCTCTTTTTACATTTAGTAATATATACAGGAGAAGGGGTTACTAGCGCCTTGCTCCTGGCATTTTAGTCACCTCTGACAACACGCATGGTTTACGAAGGAAGAATTCTGTTCCACTTCCCCATGGAGGTAAGAGGAAATAAACAAGAACTAGTAAGAAAATAGAAGAAAACCCAGAGGGGTGTGTATATATATGCTTGTACATGTATGTGTAGTGCGACCTAAGTGTAAGTAGTAGCAGCAAGATATACCCATTATCCAGCATGTTTATGAGACAGAAGAGACACACCAGCAATCCTACCATCATGTAAAACAGTTACAGGTTTCTGTTTCAAAGTCACCTGGCAGGACGGTAGTACCTCCCTGGGTGGTTGCTGTCTACCAACCTACTACCTACAGATATGTACAGTGTATTATATTGAACACAAAATAAAAGTTAAAAAGGTTATCTGCATCCAACAAACTTGTACATGTATACAGGTGATTTTAACATGTATGATGCACTAGTATGCACAATTTTTTACACCTTCAAACATGTCACCTGACTATTTTTTATTTTAGCTCAACTTTCACAACACAATCTCTTCATGCCTTAAACCCTTACAGGGTCGAGAGGCCCTCCCCTAAACTTGTTCTCAGGGTCGAAAATTTTTCGGGGGGAAAAAAAAAAAAAAAAAATCTTATGAAAAGGTTATCTTTTCCCGATCACAATGACATCAAAAGTATGAAACTTGATGGAAAACTTACGGAATTATGCTCTCACAAAGTTAGCGGTCTCAACGATGTTTACGCATCGGCGATTTCGCCCACTTTGAGCCCTATTCTCGGCGAATTCCAGTGTAGTAGTCAACAAAAATCATAACTATTTCGCTAGAACTCAATTTTTTCTATCAAATGACTACAAGAAGCCGCCCATTTACCAATTTCAACTACCCAATAAAGTAGTCAGAAATCAGCAATTTTGCCAACTTCACACAAATTTCAAAAGATGCCAATTTCCAAATAGGGTCCAGAGTAACAAGACAAACATTCCTGGCACTAAAATAACATTTCCTCTGTTCATTAGTCATGTCCCCAGGCCCCTCTTACATTTCTGCTTTCCATTTTGAATTTTTCTCACAAAAAAAAAAAAAAAAAAATAGATGATTTACTGTTATGCAGACTACTGCATTAATGTAGAAATGGTATAAATAATATCAGCGCACTTTCAAAAGAACATTAGACTCACCAGTGGACATACATTGGAAGCGTGGCATGATTTGTTTACTTTTGAACTTTGCAAAAATCGAACATTTCTGCTAATCTGAGCTCAATTTCAAGGTACTTCTCTTTGTGAAACCAATCAAAATCATCTCAATTTCTGTAATATGTCATCCATTCTATAAAACGAGACCTGAAAAACTAGAATACAACCATAAATACCATATGAAAATACAGTGCAAAGTTGCTGTTTTAAACCAAAAACACTGTCAAAGTTTTTTTTCTCATTACGCACTGTGTGCTGCAGGATTTGTTTATACTGTGCACACTGACCACAGACCCTTTCTTTCATATGTAGGCCTATTAGTTTTCTCTCACTAGATTTGAAGGCGCTAGAATTTACTCATACTAGTACGTTAATAACCCTGGTGCGCAAGCCGTACTATTATGTTGGAAACCTTGAAAGGGTTAAAAAAAAATTTAAGGCCAGGAGGGTCCACACAGTGCATCACGGTTAACTACACAAGTGATGACTTGTGCTAAGCAAATTTTAAAATATACCTACCTTATAAGATATTCACGATCTGGTGTGTTCTCAATACCACGGAATATGTTTTGAATGGCGAGGGGAATAATTCCAGGGAGACTTTTGTCACCCATCATGGTGAATGTCTTGCCTAAGTAGAAAAAAATTGCATGAGATACTGATAAATAATTAAATATAAATAAATTTACACACACACACACACACACACACACACACACAGTGTAATTATGCTTAGCAGACGAGAATACAAGCACTTGTCAAGGCTCTGCTGTTGCCACTTTTTTTTTTTTTTTGTAAACAGTACATATTATGCAAGATAAATGCGAGTTTATAGTACAAGTGAAATAAATAAAAATATATAATTCAATGGTTGTTGGTACTTTATTTACTGTATTTTGTAATTAAAAAAAAAATAAAGTACAGTGGTACCTTGACTTACGAGTTTAATTCGCTCTGTGACCAAGCTCGTAACTTAATTTGCTCGTATATCAAATCAATTTTCCTCACTGAAATGCTGTTAATCTGTTGCAGCCCCTCCCCCTAAAAAAAAAAAAAAAAAAAATATTGGTTAAGGGTTTTTAAATAAGAACCACCTTCACTACTCCACCCACCACCCTCACTACTCTGCCCACCACCATCTATTACACCCACCACCCTCACTACTCCATCTACCTTCACTACTCCACCCACCACCATCACTATTACACCCACCACCATCACTACTACACCCACCACCATCACTACTCCACCCACCACCATCACTACTCCACCCACCACCATCACTACTCCACCCACCACCATCACTACTCCACCCACCACCATCACTACTCCACCCACCACCATCACTACTCCACCCACCACCATCACTACTCCACCCACCACCATCACTACTCCACCCACCACCATCACTACTCCACCCACCACCATCACTACTCCACCCACCACCATCACTACTCCACCCACCACCATCACTACTCCACCCACCACCATCACTACTCCACCCACCACCATCACTACTCCACCCACCACCATCACTACTCCACCCATTGAAGGAACCACAGTAAGGCAGCTAAGTATCACGGAGGCCTTCCATAATGTTTCTGGAGAAACTGAGTGCTTAAATGGAGGTCACCTCTTCCCCAGACTTATACGAGAGCCAAACAAGGGATGAGGTGCCTCACTACAATCTGGGATTAATGTGGGAGTATTATCCTTCCAGTTATGTCTTGGAAGAGAATGTGGGATGGGATGAAGTACCTGACATTCCTTTGGGTACAGCGTTGAATTTGACTTCAGATATCTGAAGCTCGCTCCTAACTCTGACTTTGGCTTGCAACTCAAAGCAAAAAATGGACCGAGCGATGGCTTGTAACTCGGAAAACTCGGAAGTTGGGGCACTCTTAATTCAAGGTACCACTGTATTACTCATGCCAGCAGATTGCAAATTAAAGAAATTAAAAAATACCCAGTATACTTCTGGTTTAATTTATGAGCTCTACTTTAGATCCACCTTACTTCTAGCCATCTTCACGAAAAGAAAAAAGGTTAAATAATGCCGATTACATTTCACTTACCAGATGATGTCTGACCATAAGCAAAAATAGTTCCATTGAAACCATCAAGAGCAGCTTCAACAATGGGTTCTGCCACTTCAGTGTACACGCCCTCATTATCATAATCTATCCCCAACACTTTGTCTGAAAAGCAAAATGACAAGCGAATGCAAAAGTAACACTGTCCCACAAAACAAATGCCAAACGGTTATCCGTGCCCCCCATGGATATACTACTATCCAGATCCTCAGATATACATGTACTAGCTCACATCCACCACTAATTGACACTTGGTGTACAGTATGCTAAACAGATCTTGGAGAAAGTTTTTTCCTGCCAGTGCAAAGCAAATTATCTATTACTTTTCAAAATATATTAAAATATGAAGTGTAAAATATTTACTAACAATGAAAAATCTACATACATAAAGATATGGCAAAACAGGAGATTTAATTTAGGCAGTTACTTTCACAACACAAACTGATGGGAAGAAATGTTATATTTCATGACCATGAGAATGTTAATAAACTTATCCTACAGCTTAAACACTGAGAAGAGTATAGTGTAAAATAAACATATCAAGACAACTAAGGACATTTCTTTGTGATAGAGACTTAAGAATAAGTATAAAAAATAATTTTGTAATTTCTGTGAATTTATATATATGTACAGGAAGGCCCTGCTTATACAGAAGGTTGGGTTCTGGGCTACTGCTGTAAACAAAAATTCATGTAAAGTGAAGCAGCCTTTTTTCACTTTCAAATGCAAATAAAAGCCTGATAACAAATTTACACTAGCATAGTAAGTGAGCAATAGAGCTATGCCTAAAAAAATGCATATATAGTGCACACATTACTTTAAAATATTTTCATCCTTAGTATATAGTGAGTGGTGAATGTATTTATGGTAGAAAGTCTGAATAACTGAAGAATGAGTATAACTGAAAACCACTGCATTAGCAAAATGCCATAAAGTGAAGTGCTGTGAAGCAGGGCTCGCTTGTATACTACGTATATATTGTACATCACAGTTAAAAAAATGTATTCCTCCCATATTAGAATACAAGATTTATTCTCACCAAACTGGTATGGAGCACACACAGGTTTGTTAGATCCATCAACTTGTGTAATGGTGTGTTCATGACCAATTTGCCAATGAAGAGTGGCGGACTCTGCCTCCTCCCGTGTGATCAGTGGCCTTACACGGACAGCCACAAGGATATTGTCCGACATGGTTCTCTTCAATGAAAAAGTTTCACAGCAGGTTCTGTAATGAAACTATTAATGTCAAGATATACACATTACATATGCATCACATTTATCAGAAACAAAGTACACAAGTGTTATGTGCAATTAATTATACAAAACATTCAGAACTAGCACTGACTCAGTGCTCAAATTCTTCTTGGAGAGCTGTAATGAAACAGACAACACAAGGAACAAATACTTCTGATAAACTGCATGTTTAATGTAGCCTGTTAAGTAGTAACTGTGAACCTCTGAATTAATGGACCAGCAGGAGGGAGGGGATGTATGTTATTGCTGATTAACCATAGATTCCAAATGACAAAATTTATTTTTTCATGATTGTAACAAATGGACAGTGTGGAATCAGCAATTTGGTCCAATGATTCAGAAGGCTACAGAATGCTAAGACTATTTTAACCTGTACATTAGAGAATGGTATACTAATTTTACAGGAATTTACAGTAATTTTACTTAGCTACCTTTTTTTTTTTTTAGTCAAGAAGAGCTGTTGCCTGCTGTGAATCAAAAGCTGTAAAGCTTCACCAGTGAAACTGTAGATGGTTTAGACAATGTACGTAGCTAAATGGTTGAGAAAACATCAGACTCGACCTTCAAGTTTCTCCTTAAAACTGAGACTAATATGTTTCCTCTTGGCACCACCACTTGCTTGAGAAGCCATTGCTAATTGCATTTTACTTAGTATGCTAATGAAGTCAAGCAAAACACTGTAAATCCAGGGAAAATAGGAGACTGACTAGTGTATGCATGAGCAAGCACACACAATGAACCAAAGCAAGTGGCTATGGCTTAGGAAAGAAAAAATGGGTCTTGGATGAGGACAACAGCCAATACTAGACAAACAGAAGTAATAGGACAGTCGGTTGATTCAAAGACAAATGGACATTAATACTGCTATGGACAAAATCCATAATCTACAGAATTTTTTCCCTTCTGTACAATGATTCCAACATTTGTCCAGCAAATTTTTGCCCAGTTTCTGAAATTAGAGATTTTACTGCACTGTACATGCAGAAAAAAGACACTCAAATATGGAACTCATAACCTGATGATACAAAACCGCTTCAAAACTCGTTAAAAAAAATCTCCTTAATCCTTTGAGTGTCGCCAGGCCCTATCAGAGACTTGTTCTCAGGGTCGCCAAAATTTAAAAAAAAAAAAAAAAAAAAAAAAATTATATATATATATATAATATATATAATATATATAATATATAAAATATATATAAATATATATAAATATATAAATATATATAAATATATATAATTATATATAAATATATATAATATATATAATATATAAATATATATAAATATATATATATAATATATAAATTATATATATATTATATATATATTATATATATATATATATATATATATATATATATTATGAAAAGATAGAGAATCTTTTCCCGATCATAATGACACCGAAAGTTTGAAATTTGATGGAAAACTTATGGAATTATGCTCTCGCGAAGTTAGTGGTCTCAACGATGTTTACGCATCGGCGATTTTGCCCACTTTGAGCCCTATTTTCGGCCAATTCCAGTGTACTAGTCGACAAAAATCATAACTATTTTGCTAGAACTCCGTTTTTTCTATCGAATGAGTACAAGAAACCACCCATTTACCGATTTCAACAATCCAATCAAGTGGTCAGAATTTAGAAATTTTGCCAATTTCACACAAATTTCAAAAGATGCCAATTTCCAAATAGGGTCCAGAATAAACAAGAAAGATTCCTGGCACTAAAATAACATTTCCTCTGTTCATTAGTCACATCCCACGCCCCTCTTACATTTCTTTTGCTTTCCACTTTGAATTTTTATTCTCACAAAAAATAGATTTACTGTTATGCAGACTACTGTATTAGTGTAGAAATGGTATAAATATTGCCAGCGCACTTGTGAAAGAATATTAGATTCACCAGTTGACGTGTATTGGACGCGTACCATCATTGGTTTACTTTTGAACTTTGGCAGAAATCGAACATTTCTGCTACCAGGAAAACTAGAATACAACCATAAATACCAAACGAAAATACAGTGCAAAGTCGCTGTTTTAAACCAAAAACATGGTCAAAGTTTTTTTTTTTCTCATTACACACTTTGTGATGCAGGATTTTTTTTATACTGCACACACTGACCACAGACCCATTCTTTCATATGTAGGCCTACCAGCTTTCTCTTGCTAGATGTGAGGGCGCTAGAATTTATGCGTACTAGTACGTCGAAAACCCTGGCATGTAAGCCGTACTAGTACAGCTGAAACCCCGAAAGGGTTAATTTGACTAAATATTTAGTGTTAATGTTGGAAAATCATCGAAAATCATATTTTTCGCATTATTTCAACGATTCAAACATCATGCAATACTGTTGCCACTTAGAATTCAAGCAACTGAACCTTTACTATGCATAGTTCAGATGTGTTAAGTCGGTTACAAAACAATTACAGTGGACCTCCGGTATTCGATGGCTTCGGTATTCGATAAATCCGGTATTCGATGCATTTTAACGCAAAAACTTTGCCTTGGTATCCGATTGAAAACCTGGCATTCGATATGGTTCGTACGAGACGTGTCCACGTGTGGCCTGAACTGCCCTGTGTGTGCCAGTGTTTACAAGCCAGCCAGTGTGCGCGCATCTAAGGATACACAAATAACCCGCACATAAAAGAGAAGCTTACGACGGCGTTTCGGTCCGACTTGGACCATTGACAAAGTCACACAGTGTGACTTTGTCAATGGTCCAAGTCGGACCGAAACGTCGTCGTAAGCTTCTCTCTTTTATGTGCGGGTTATTTGTGTATCGTTCCAGTCACGGTATTGTGCCTTTTTTGTTATCTAAGGATACATTCTGTACATTCCATATTATCACTGTTTTTGGTGCTTGTTTCTGCAAAACAAGTCACCATGGGCCCCAAGAAAGCTTCTAGTGTCACCCTGTGGTAAAAAGGGTGAGAATTAGTATGGAAATTAAGTTAGACATGCGCAACTCTTGGGTATCTTTATTGAGGAAACGTTTTGCCACACAGTGGCTTCATCAGTCCATACACAGAAGAAGCTAGAAGAACAGGAGGAGAATGAGGTAATCAGCCCCTCAGCCTCGAGTCGATGTGGTCAGTCCATCAATCTTGAATAGAATACGGCATATGAGCGAAGAAGCAGCTTATAAACCGTAGGCAGGAGAGGTGCAGCAGACGTAGGTGGTGTCACATTTGCCCAATGTGGAAGTAGGTCATGCCCAAAGGTTAGGCAAGCGAAGAATTCCCAAGTATTAAGATCCCAAGAAGTTGCAGTGTCTGACAGGTTTGTAGATGAATGGTTCACAGAACCGACACTTTGATAAATTAGACACATGTACAACTCTTGGGTATCTTTATTGAGGGAAAAGTTCTGCCACACAATGGCTTCATCAGTCCATACACAGGAGAAGCTAGAACAGGAGGAGAATGAGGTAATCAGTCCCTCAGCCTTGAGTCGATGTGGTCAGTCCATCAATCTTGTCAGACACTGCAACTTCTTGGGATTTAAAATGGTATAAAATACTGACAGGTTGTTAGGCAAGACACATGCAACAGTTAGGTATCTTTATTTCGAAACGTTTCGCCTACACAGTAGGCTTCTTCAGTCGAGTACAGAAAAGTTGATAGAAGCAGAAGAGACTTGAAGACGATGTAATCAGTCCATCACCCTTAAAGTTTTGAGGTGGTCAATCCCTCAGTCTGGAGAACAGCATTGTTCCATAGTCTGAAACAATATGGAGTTGAAGTGACAGGATGGAGCCTTATATAGCGCCAGGAGGCAAGACGTAGGTCACTAGTAGAAGTAAGAACGCAGATGTTGGGAGGTCAGGTCCCTCTCAAATCCAGCCGTTCTCACTAGTAGAGGTTGTCGATGTTGATTGCAGGTCTGTACCAAGATACCCTTGTGTTGCAGACCTGCAATCAACATCGACAACCTCTACTAGTGAGAACGGCTGGATTTGAGAGGGACCTGACCTCCCAACATCTGCGTTCTTACTTCTACTAGTGACCTACGTCTCACCTCCTGGCGCTATATAAGGCTCCATTCTGTCACTTCAACTCCATATTGTTTCAGACTATGGAACAATGCTGTTCTCCAGACTGAGGGACTGACCACCTCAAAACTTTAAGGGTGATGGACTGATTACATCGTCTTCAAGTCTCTTCTGCTTCTATCAACTTTTCTGTACTCGACTGAAGAAGCCTACTGTGTAGGCGAAACGTTTCGAAATAAAGATACCTAACTGTTGCACATGTGTCTTACCTAACAACAACTTCTTGGGATCTTAAAACCTGGGAATTCTTCGCTTGCCTAATCTTTGGGCATGACCTAACCCCACATTGGGCAAATGGACACCCCCAAAGTCTGCGGCCCCTCTCCGCCAAGGTTTTTAATAAGCTGCTTTTTCCGCCTATGCCCAAACCCTATTAAAGGGATTGATGGACCCCAAACATCGCTAAAAAAAGGTTTTGGGGGACTGTTTACCTAAATTTTTCCTCCGTTTTTCTAGTTTTCCCCCTGTGAAAGGACTGATGAAGCCAATTGGGGAAAAACTTTTCCCTCAAAAAGATCCCCAAGATTGCACACGGTTTTAATTTAACAAGGGTTTTCTGTAACCCAAATTCATCTACAAAGGAAAATTAAAAAAAGATTTGAAGGGTTTTGGGGGCAAACCCCTGAAAACCAAGCCATTTTGTGGAACCCAAATTTGTGCCTATTTCCCAAAAATTTAAGGGAAATGTTGCACAGGGTTAAAACTGCAAACCTTAGGGATGAAAATCACCCTAACACACTTTTTCAACCTGCGGGCCCTTTTTACGATGACAATGTTGGGCCCCTTTTTGGGAACAAATCGTTAAGGAACAGAGGTAAGGGGCTCAAAGGGACTGTTTTTTTGTGCACAGAGGTCCAGTGACTCAAGCTGGCCCCTAGGGTTTAAAAAAGAAAAGGGAAGAAAACCCCGGGAAAAGGCTT